GCAACCACGGCTGCTGCAGTAATCCAAGAGTTGTTTATATCTCTCTGATTGTTATATACGTATGTTTGCATTTGAGCCAGATGATGATTGCATAAATTTTACGGATATTTCATGGACTGTATATTTGATGCTTTAGTTTCAGGTTGTCTTTGATTACTTTACGTACTTCGACACTGAGGAGACGTCCCAGATCTGCTCCTGTTATCACCCAATACCTTCTTAAAAGCTATAGAGAGCATTTTCTGCCTCTTTACACACCCATCGCCTTTTACTCCCAAGTGTTCCAACTGTGTTTGGGTCTCTTGTTTGTTTTTTTTATTTTCATCTCATGATTCTGGGTATTTATTATTAAATATGTTTTACACCTGATATTCAGTACATTCAGTCTTTTTGTACGTCTGAAACTGAACCGAATCGGGAAGCGTTGCGCGTCCATTTGAACGATTTTGCTGAATTGCGTAGCGTTTGTGTAGCAAGTTTATTTGGCGTGTACGGGGGAATAAAGGGTTTACAGGTCTCTCAGGTTTCAACACGTGACAACTTGCCCTTTCAGCTTTTCTATTTATTTCATTGTTCTGATGTTTTCTTTGTTGAAAGTGGTTACAGACTGTGGCATACTGGAAGAGGCTAGCATTAGAATATTTAAAACAGTTATGAGGAAAAGGACCAGATCAACTTTCTGTTAATGATGTTCACTTTGTCTCCAGTTTCTGCCAAGAGTTATTTTTATGGATTTAAAAGAAAAACCATGGGGTATAAAATATGGGTAACAAATGTCATACATTGTGCTCTTTTTTTTTTTTAATCATAAATTGTTGCCAGTTTGGACTAACAACCAATTTTTGTCTGGTAGTGGAGACAACTTAGTCCAGTATGCAGAAGGAAAAAGGCTTGTTCTATCCTGAATTATTTTCTTCTTCCCTCTCTTTCAGTTAATTTAGACTTTTCATAGCTTTGTCAGTTCTGTTTGTGTATCTAACACACACCTGTTCGCAATTGTTACTTTAGTGTAAGTTATATTTGAAAAATGGAACATTTACTGTATTTCTCAAATAAACTGCTGTGATATACTTGAATAAAGGTGCAAACTGTAACTTTGAAGTGCTTGTTTCGTTTTGTTTTTTTTTAAAGTAACTTTGACAAGTATTAGCCTAAAATACCTGCAGTACCTTTGATGGCCACTTGAGGCTGGATTTGAAAGGAGTTAACCCTCAGACTCC